GATATGCACAACCTGAAATACATAGATAGATACAAAGAGATAGATAGATAGATAGATAGATAGATAGATAGATAGATAGATAGATAGATAGATAGATATGCACAACCTGATATACATAAAGATACGAAGAGATTGAGATAGATACATAGATTGGTACATATGAAATGACTGAGATAGAAAGATATTTAGATATGAAGAGACTGAGATAGATACATAGATAGATAGATAGATAGATAGATAGATAGATAGATAGATATGCACAACCTGATATACATAAAGATACGAAGAGATTGAGATAGATACATAGATCGGTAGATATGAAATGACTGAGATAGAAAGATATTTAGATATGAAGAGACTGAGATAGATAGATAGATAGATAGATAGATAGATAGATAGATAGATAGATAGATATGCACAACCTGAAATACATAGACAGATATGCAAAACCTGAAATACATAGATAGATACAAAGAGATAGATAGATAGATAGATAGATAGATAGATAGATAGATAGATAGATAGATATGCACAACCTGAAATACATAGATAGGTACAAAGAGACTGAGATAGATAGATAGATAGATAGATAGATAGATAGATAGATAGATATGGAATGACTTAGATAGACAGATCGTTAAATACGAAACGACTGACATAGATAGATAGATAGATAGATAGATAGATAGATAGATAGATAGATAGATAGATAGATTTCTTTTGCATAGCCAGTCATCAATATCCGAACCTCGGCAAATGACATGATTTAGTAACAGGATCTTCAAGACAGACACACAGATCGCCCTCTCCGACTGACACAACTTTCTCAGCTTACAGTGCTTTCTACCAACATATCACCTTTAGCATTAATAAATGTTATTATAAATTCCCAGAGACAGATTCGTTAGATTTATAGTTGATGGAGAGAGCGCGTGCGTGAGCGATAGATAGATAGATAGATAGATAGATAGATAGATAGATAGATAGATAGATAGAGAAAGAGAGAGAGAAGGTGATCCACAAATATACAGAACTAATTTCAGTGCAACGGTGAAGACTGGAATAGTTCCATAATCGCCGCATATTATTAGAATAAAATTTATCTTCTACACTTGGCTTTTCTCCTTCGAATAATGCGAAGGCGACAATAGACGAGTCGAAAATCCATGAAAATCTGTAAGTGATAGTATGCATATAATTACCTCAGAGAATGGTTTGCAGTCACTTCGGGTATATTGCCGGGTTGATTGTCTAGACGCCATTCATTGCCCCGGTATATTTTGGAAAGGTGTATGGAAGATTAAAAGCAAATTATTACCTTCAGTTAAACGCAGAGGCAGTCGCGTGCTCCATCAGTATTTTGCCCATGTTGCCTTCAAAGTATAAGTCTAAACCTGGTGGAAATCTCCTGAATAGCAGACTGAAAAAATACGGGAGTTAAATAGGGCATCAATCAAAAAATTACTTTTATTTCTACTATTAATCCAAGATGTGAGAGAGTGTCTGCTATAGGCCAGCTATTATATTTATATTTAATAACTAAAATCTTGGTAATCTGTACGGATAATCCCAAGGAGGAGGAAGTCCTGGGAGCTCAATGTCAGAGCGAATAATTTAATTTAAAGTAAAACAGAACACATTAAGGCTTCATTTGTTATAATTTATTTCACCAGAAAATTCTCTTAAAGCAGTCTGTTTTCCTTAAATATATATATATATATATATATATATATATATATATATATATATATATATATATATATATATATATAGTAGCTGGCCTATTGCAGTCTGACATATTAGATTAATAGAAATAAATGTAATAGCTGGCCACTTGTATTCAAGTATGCCTGTCTACTGTTCTGTCTACCCACTTTTCACTCACAAAGCTTGGGTCAACTCGTGGTATGGTTTTCAGGCACTTTCCAAATGATATATATATATATATATATATATATATATATATATATATATATACAGAAAAATACATTACTTGTATTATTTGCATTATTTATCCTCATCTTCACTGCCATATTCATTTTATATATATATATATATATATATATATATATATATGTGTGTGTGTGTGTGTGTGTGTGTGTGTGTGAGAGAGAGAGAGAGGGCCAGAAAAATTACTGTGCTCAAATAAACAAAGTACTCAACATAGTAATCAGAAACACGAATACATAATCCAATACAAAAATTAAATACAAAAAAGGGTCAACACTATCGTACCACACTACCACAGGTCTCGTCTGGTGGCTAGTTAATAAGAGTTCATACAAATTTTAGCACTCCAGGGCACACCAATTTTAGCACTCCAGGGCACCGGAAGTCAAGAAAAAATATTATACTATATTTGTCAGCATTCGGTTTCGTAGAGGCAGAGAACATTCTTACCGCGTACCTACATTTTGACATCATTTCCATTCAACCACAGCATACTGTCCTAAAACTTCGCTATCGCCAATGTCTCTTCCTGACACAACCTACAGCTGTTGCCACTCGTTCTATCAGATCTTACTCTTCTCAAAATCCTCCACTTTTTATTCGAATTCTTACCATGTTCTTTTGATTTCTGGATATTGTCCGCCTGCATCGTATTATAACTACGCTTATGCGCCCTAAAAGAAGCATGATTGTACCAGCGTTTCTTAAAAGAGCCCTCAGTACATCCGATGCAAAAATTTCTTTGGCCACTCTTATTACTAACATCAGCCTGGTAAACCACATCCTCTGTACAGCACACCCTGTTCAAAGGGCAATTACTTTTGTTCCAACAGTTACATATTATATTACTGACACCGTTTTTATTTTTGTGCGTTTATATCCAAATTTCTCGCATATTTCTCTCTTCGCTATATTATTCATATTGCCAGTACAATTATAACGATATTACTGGTGAGATTGGTGGGCGCTGATGAACACTTCTTAGCTAAAACCTGACAAGACCTCACGGTCGAAACCATGGTAATAATGTTGTATATTGACACAGTATATTATATATATATATATATATATATATATATATATATATATATATATATATATATATATATATATATATATAATAAAAAAGGCTTAAACACTAATATTCCTTGGTCATAATTTATTCCATTGGAATCGTAAATATGATCCAATTCATCAGACCTACAAATTAAAAAAAAATGAATAAACAACTTCGGAAATAAAAAAAATAAAATTTAGAGAGAGTGTAAGTATGAGAGTGTGCGACGAATGTTAGAGCTAAAGGGAGGGGTAACAGACGAGAGACGGTGGGGAATTAAAATTTAACAGAGAGAAGTTTTAGAGAGGAGAGTCAAAGACGGTTTAAGTGAGAGAAATATGAATGTTGTCGGATGTCTAATACATTAAAGATGTAACCAGAAAGAATACATTATGTGGTGACATACACACACAATATAGACGATCGAATCTTAAAGATCAGAAGAAGAGGGAGGGACAGGAAAATAAAATAAATGGGTGGGGGAGAGAGATGGGGCGGGGGAAACTAAAACTGAAGGGCATTTACTAAAAGGGCCGCTGTGTAATTAAGAAATTTTGAAAATTTGGTATATTTATCACTAATATTATCTCTCTCTCTCTCCATATATATATATATATATATATATATATATATATATATATATATATATATATATACACTTAGGTCAGAAATAGAAAAACCCTGAACAATTCGTTTAATATTCTTCGGCTATTTATATATGATACATATTGCCTCAGGAATGTTCAAATGAGTTACGACAATCGATCTCTCTCTCTCTCTCTCTCTCTCTCTCTCTCTCTCTCTCTCTCTCTCTCTGGAGTACGTTTGACGATTGTCATAATTCGTGTGGCAGCCCGCGCATGCGCACCGATCACTGCATCTCTTTTCGCGCCGTCATAACCCTCACGGAGTATTCCTGGAAGACAAATCGTTCACGTTCTTCCACACCTGCCCACGTTACTTTCTCCCATCTTCCTATTCAGCGCCGATATTCATTTTGCATTCTTCACAGCTGTCATGGCCTTTTCTGCTAAACCGACTCCACATCTTTTTCCCCCAAACCCCACGCCAACATACTTACAAGAATAAAAACTAATGGAGAAGTATGGAGATTTTTCTCCGAGTCAAAGAATGAGATAATGCTAGTCGGCAAGGCTTCAAGCTGGACCAATTTGCCCAGTCTATATTAAGTTAAACGTGTTTTTCATTGCCAAACTGCCAGCATACTACAAATGGAACCCCACGAATAACTAAGAATTCTCCCTTTAAGCATATAGATGTTAACATCCCCATCTGCAATATGTCTAAATTAATAAATCTTTTTATCCTGTGGGCCATGTCTCCTCAATGCGTTGGCGATCAATGCTCTCCGCAACGTCCTATCCTAGTTCTTCATACATTTTGTATTTTTGTCATTTCTCCTAAACTGTCATTCGTGCCTTCCATGCATACTAAGAGTATCAAATTTTCCGAGCCTTATTTCCTTATTATGTTTCCTAGCAATATCAACAGTCACTTCTTGATATAAATATGGGTGATCTGTTTCCAACCATTTTCTCTAAAACAAACTCAGAATGCTCCCAGGAAGTTAGCGAAAATGGCTCCTCAAAATTTCCCCTCTTCATAAATAGCGTCTGTTTGCTAACGAAAATTCCTTGCCATCAATATGCTCTGTGAGTGATAATTTCACCAATTCCTTCTTTAGCGTTATATGATTCAACTCTCTACTACTGAATCTGGGTTTAAATGTGCATTTTTTTTCTATTTTCCTTAAAAAACTTAATCGTTGATTTCGTGCTCCTCGCATAGTCGGGAGGGAACATTTCATCACCACCGACTCAAAACCGCCGCCTCAACATTATTCCCCAATTCGAGCCGCTATCTATTACTCCACAGTACCTTTTAATTAGTAGTTTACTCATGAATATATACACAGTGTCCACCAAGAAATTGTCACCAATTTCAAAAACCAAAGTTTTTCCCACTTGCTGGA